CAGGAACATCAAAAGAACCCTCTAGAAGTTCCGAAAACTATTGGGCCACCCTTAGCTCAGTCGCTAAAGGCACCGCTACAAAGCAAGACCATGCTGGAGGTGGCTGGGGTAGATTCTCGGTCCGGTCTACGAATATTTCGGGTTGGAAGTTTTCTCGACTTCCCTAGGCATAGAGTATAAGATTGTACTTGCCACACAATTATACTAATGCAAAAATGGTACAGGCATCGAAAGCTGTCAATTAATAACTGTGAAAGTGCATCTAAAACACTTCGTTGAGAGCACACAATAAGCTGATTTGCGATAAGCAATAAACTTGAAATGCGAAGAAGAAGATGAAGAAGAAGATGTTCTGAAAATTTCAGGGAAGTCCAGAGAACTTCAGGAAAATTTGAAGGAAGTTTTGGACACTTCCATTTAAAGGGTGTCCACGATGAAATTGCCACACTATGAAATTGCTCTAACTTTTTAACCGTTGGGTAGAATTTAATGAAAATTTGGGTGGATTTAGTTCATAGTGCATTATTTACATCCTGCAAGTTTTAAAGTCCTGTGATCAAAACTCGCGGAAATGGAGTCGAAAGAACAGCTCTTGCGTGATAAAATCTTGCGCATTCATCACGAGAACAAGGATCTCTCGCATCGTTCCATCGCTAAAACGTTGGGAATCGCGAATTCCACGGTGTCGCGAGTGATTAAGCGGTTCGAGGAACGGTTGACCACCGATCGGAAGCCCAGAAGTGAAGGAAAAAGTATTCCGTACAACACCAAAAATCACAACCGCGTAGTTGGGGCCTTCAACCGAAATCCGAACGCCTCCGTTAGGGATGTGGCTAAGAAGCTGCACCTAAGCCGAAGTTTTGTCCAGAAGGCCAAAACTAAGGCTGGGCTTCGAACGTTCAAGGTACAAAAGGCCCCTAATCGCGACGAGAAGCAGAACAAGTCCGCCAAAACCCGTGCCAGGAAGTTGTACCTCAACATGCTGACGAAAGTTGAATGCTGGATCATGGACGACGAAACATATGTGAAGGCCGACTTCAAACAGATCCCCGGCAACCTGTTTTTCACGGCCAAGGATAAGTTCAGCGTTCCGGAGCATGTCCGCACTCAGAAAATGTCCAAATTTGCGAAGAAATTCGTGGTTTGGCAAGCCATCTGCACGTGCGGGAAGCGGAGTGCACCTTTCGTGACCCAGGACACGATGAACGGACAGGTGTACATAAAAGAGTGCCTCCAGAAGCGGCTGCTTCCTCTCCTGAAGGCCCACAACGTCCCAACAATCTTCTGGCCGGATTTGGCCTCATGCCACTACTCCAAGGACGTGCTGAAGTGGTATGCGGACAATAAGGTCAATTTCGTGCCGAAAATGTTCAACCCTCCCAACACTCCGGAGCTCCGCCCCATCGAGAAGTACTGGGCGATTATGAAGCAGCACCTTCTTAAACGACCTAAGGTAGTGAAGACAGTCGAGGAACTGAAGAAAGTATGGGTTTACATGCAAAAAACGGTTGATTCACAGGTTGTGCAGAATCTTATGGCCGGGGTTAAGGCCAAGGTGCGGGCATTTGCGTATGGACTGTAAATAAAATACGAGTAAAATGGTAAAATGAAGTTTAATAGTTATTTCTCAATCCCTGAAAATTTGATGGCAATCGGATGAAAACTCGAATTTTGCGAATCAATTTTGTGTGTGGCAATTTCATCGTGGACACCCTTTATGTCAGGGAAGGAAACCCAAGTGAATTGAGAGTTTCTGGAAAGCTCCAATATCACCAGGGCAGTTCAGAAAATCTAAAGAAAGTGCAATAAATTTGAAGGAAATTTTGGAACTATAAAGAAGTTCCTAGAAACTCAGGGAGTTATGTGAAAATCTTAGATCGCCTTCATTATTCCGTTTTAATTTCAGGAGATCTGTGGGAACTTAAGGATGTTACAGAAATTTCAAAAAATTCCAAAGAACTGAAGGGAAGTTAACAAATTTCAGGAAAACTGTGGGAATTTCATAGAACTCATAAGAAAAATCAGAAAATTTCTCAGAAACTCTAAAGAGCTTAGAAAAATTTCAAGCACATCAGGAAAAATCGAAAGCATTTGATAAGAAATTTCGTAAGCTTTGAGGCTGTTGCAAGAATTAAGGGAACTTCAAGAAAGACCAATGAAAATGCATTAATTTCAGAAAAAAGCAGGAATTTTTGAGAAGTTTCCAGATTTTCAAGAAATCCCGAGAATTTTAAGGTCTGCAACTGGTAAACTGCACACCATTTTTGGGAACCTCGCAGAAGCTGAGAGAACTTCGCGAACGTTTAGGGATTTTTTAAGTACAGTTCAATTTTGTTCAGGACAGCACGAAGTCCTTCAGGAGAATTGCAGAACTTTAGAAAATGTCTGAAGACGTTAGGGCAGTCCAATTAAGTTCAGGGAAATTATAGGGTGACACACAGTAGACAAAATTATGGAGACTGGCAAAATTTTGTCAAAATTCAAAGGACCATAACTTTTTGAAAAATGGTCCAAATTTTATGGTTTCAATTTCATTCGACAGGAAATTTATCGAATATATATAAATCATTGGATAACTTTTGGTGGCTGAACGGCACCGGTGGTGTAGTGGTAAGCGTGATTACCTCTCACCCCAGCAGGCCTGGGTTCAATCCCAGTCGGCGCCGCCGGGATGTTCTGAGGCATAACATCTCTGATCACGCCTTCCTTCGGATGGGAAGTAAAGCCGTTGGTCCCCGGTTCATGAGTTGATGGGTCGATAGGTAGGGTCCAGGTGTGGGAGCTGCCTTCCTGCCTCAGCACGGAAAACAAGATCGACGGAAAAAACAAAACCAAAGGAAACTTTTGGTGGCCAGTGATGGTGGTTCCGGTAATGCGAACAGTAATGTTAATCTCTTGAATAAAGTCAACATAGGTATCGCTCCTCATGATTTTGCAGCTCGATATCTTCAGAATCACGAGTTGCGATGGTCATTTTGGAGGAGGTTATGGGTGCCCCGGGGGATGTCTTCAATTGGGGCCATGACCGGAACCATATCAATATGGGTGTTAAACTTCATGGTTTTGCTTGCCTATGACAATGGAAGTTCGATCAGATCCACGATTTGCTCTGGTTATCTTGGAGCAGGTTCTGGGTGCCCCGGGGATGTGGTCAATTCGGGCCATGACCGGAACCATATCAATGTTGTATCTGTTGGAACTTATCAATTAATTGTTGCTTATTTTCGCAGTTTTACCGGTGAAACATTGATTTTCTATTCCTACTTGCCACTTGTCTTTTGCTCACTGTCAATAGTGTATTGCTCCTGACCAAGCAGATTTATTGGTAATAATGAGCATTGCATTCTGTGCATTCTTTAGGAGTCGTTTATATATTTACCATTGATAGTCACACACACATGGGCTGTAATGAAACGCTCATTGTCGACCTTTCTTGACGCTAAATTGTGCTAAACCTTCTTGTCCTCAGCGAGGTTTATGGAATAGTGAAGGGTGGACTATATTGTAAATATAATATATTTGGCTTAATACTTCTTTTTCTATCTTTATAATAGAAGTGTACAGACTGTAGCCTTAAATTTTATCTGCCTGTAGCAAATTACAGTCATGTTTCAATTTACCCTGTCTGTATCTGTTGGAGATTCATATTATCACTTGCTGAATTAGTGATGTCTATTGGATTGTTGACCTTCAAAAAAAATACCGGTTTTCATGCATCATGTGCAAGAGCATCGTTTTATGAACCCAACGATATATATTTTTTTTCCATCCCATAGACTTTCATCTCGATTTTTAAATAGCAAATATTTTGACACTAAACTTGTCAGTTGACAGCTCGCTTCTATACAAATTCCCAACCAGGGGCGCTAAGATGGTAATGTAAGCTAATGTAATCGCATTTATTTAAAATAGTTCCAGAGCTCCAAAATTTATAAAATTTAGGATTCCGTTTCCATTTTAAATGCAGATTATGAGATGCATTCACATCCTTCGCCTAAAGCGGCGCAGATGGTGTAGTGGTGAGCGTGAATACCTCTCACCCCAGCAGGCCTGGGTTCAATCCGAGTCGGCGCCGCCAGGATGTCCTGAGGCATAACATCTTTGATCACGCCTTCAAGGGCACTAAAGCCGTTGATCCCCGGTCTATGAATTGATGGGTCGATAGGTAGGGTCCAGGTGTGGGAGCTGCCTCCCTGATGTCGGTAGCATTGAGCACGGAAAACAAGATCGATGAAAAACAAATCAAGGAAAAAAATTAACATGATCTTATAAAAGTGGCATTAAATAATTATAATGATAAATAAATTTCTGTCTACACCAAAATTTGCCATTTTCAGAAAATATTCTTACTGAAAACTGGTTAAAAGTAGTAACTGATTGAAAAGTTTTCATCATTTTAATATTAAATATCATTTACCAGATTTTCCCTTGTTAAAAGGCACAATAAATGTGACAGAAACATCGCATATGAATGATGGGACTACCATTTACCATACAGCACCTGTTCGATTTTGAAAACAGACCCGAAAATGTAGTTTGAAAGAATCGAACCTTACCAAAATAGAACGGTTTTATTTTGAAATTTAATGTATGACTTTTTGATTTTGAACCACCGTGAATAATTCTATGACAAAGCCGTTTTTAGTAATTAATCTTTTATTAAAAATTGTAATCACAAGGAGCAAAAATACATTATTTTCAAAATCTTTTCGATTTTGGCACGGTTTTAAATTTGAACCCAAAATCAAACGGTTACTGTACTAGATTAAATCATGTTTGTCCATGGTGTAAACCTCATTTTCAAGCATCAAAGTCTGGGAGTCATAACCTCAAGCATCTACTAAGAATGACAAATTGTTTCCACGAGCATTTATTAAAACTGATATCACAAACTAACAAACATACTAAACATATTAAATTGCACACAACAGTAAGCTCCAAATTATCCACAAACTCTACGCACGTTTCACCCCACCCAAGGACAATCAATCTTGTTCCTCTTTTCACTCAACCGAATCGGCGAGCACAGTGCCGGAACTGAGCTTCGCATCGAGCCCCGTTCGCCTCGAACTCCGTCAGCTTTGGAACGTTGCGGAAAATTGACTCTACGATACCATCAGATTCCTCCGGCGGTTCGGAACCATCCCTACCGACGGCCAACCGATCACGAACCACCTCTTGCATTTTCCATATAAAGGGCTTAATTTTGCAGATCAACAACCGGATACAACCGGAATCCTCCGCTGGTGTGTGCTGTAGATTTGCTAAATCTGATTCGAGGAAATCGGTCAGATTGCCATCCTGGATCGATTCCAGCATGTAGCGGAACTGCTTCGGCGGATTGTTCAGTAACCAGTCCAGTGGGGACTCGGACTGAAGGATGGTTGATTCATCCGGCTTAGGGAATTCTGAATCGGAGTTTTGATCGAGCCCTGGCTTCTTGAACGTTCCCAAGTTCGTTGCAATCTACAAACATAGCGAGCGGTTATTCATTTCACTTTTCAAACTACATTCTGTACTACTCACCACGTGGGCCACAAAAATTAATGCATTCATAACCAACGCTCCCAGCTTACTGCCGTTTAGTCCAATCAGTTTCCAAATCAGCACCATCATAGTGGCCGTCTTCTTTTGCAGTGGTGTATTGGCTTCCGGTTTTAGAAATATACCCTGGCGCGAGAATCCCTTCGCCACCAGATCTGCCACGTCCGATATCGTTTCGATGCCTAACAAGCTTCCCGCCATCCGGACTCCGGTTTTGATGTCCTGCATAAAATCTCCGACCACCGGATTCGGTCCCCGGCCAACAACCAGCAGCAACAACGGAACGACAACAACCAACGTCACAAACCGCACCCGCTTCATGGTCACAAGTTTATTTTTTTTTTTTGTATCTGAAACTTGATCCACAGCAGACAGCTAGTAGTTTCACGTCAGACACAAAAGCGAAGTGCAAATCTGGTGCTGTCTGAAGAAGAACTAAACCACCCGCAGCAGCAGGTTGGTGACAAAAACTCTTCCGGAAACCGTTCGGTGTCGAACATCCACAGAAGCAGGAGGAGGGATGAGAGTTTGTTGCTCCGATTTGCTACCGTTTTTATTTTTTTCCAAGTCGGTGGAACGAGCCTTCATGTAGCGGTACTATGCAGATTGATGCCTATGCTTTCCGCCCCCTCATGTGGAACGGAAAGTCGGAGAATGCACTGCTGCATGTCATGGTTGTGAGGTATATGCTTTAGGTGTTTTGTGTTTTCTTTATCTTTTCATTACTTTCATATTGTAAGAACTGTTAAGCGGGGGAAAAGGGCCTCCGCCCGCACGCGCTAGTGATACAGATCAAGTTCGATAATCTGGCAGAATATCTATTACGACCAGTGCTGGTACACCAAAGAACTGGTTGGCTGCAGAACATCTGAAAACTTAACATCAACAAGCCGAGGCTTGAGAATGATCATGTTTGTTTGAACACATATCAACCATGATTATTTATCACGAACACGAAATTATTGCGACACCGAAAATGTCATGCAAATTTTCTTATAATGTTAAGAATCAAACCAAAATTTTAGGGTAGTTTTATACATATATTTACTTCAAAAATCAAAAGAAAAGTTAATCGATGGAGCCTTGAGTGTAAAATTGAACGCATTTTCGCTTGATGCCCTCCATCAAAGTCTTTACAGTGTCATCCGGTACCAGTTTCTCAGTTTTTTTTCCATTTTCATAACATGTCCTTCTCGTCTTTGACTATCTTCTTGCTCTTCCGAAGTTCCCGCTTCATTATTGCCCAGTACTGCTCCACCGGGCGCAGCTCCGGACAGTTTGGCGGATTCATGTCCTTTGGAACAAAATGGACAGAATTGGCCTCATACCACTCCAGGACACTTTTAGAATAGTGGCATGATGCCAAATCTGGCCAAAACAGCGGAGCTTCGTCGTGCTGCTGCAAGAACGGCAAAAGGCGCTTCTCGAGGCACTCAGATTTGTAGATCTCGCCATTTACTGTGCCCTTTGTCACGAAAGGCTCACTCCTCAGTCCGCAAGAGCAGATGGCCTGCCAAATGAGATATTTGAAGGCGAACTTCGACATTTTCTTCTTCTTAAATTTTTCGTCCACATCGAACTTGCTCTTGCCGGTGAAAAACTCCAACCCCGGAATTTGCTTAAAATCGGCTTTTATATACGTTTCGTCGTCCATCACACAGCAGCCATATTTTGTCAGCATCTTCTCGTAGAGCTTCCGTGCCCGAGTTTTAGCCGTCGATTGTTGCCGCTCATCGCGGTTTGGGAAGTTCTGTACCTTGTATGTATGTAGTCCAGCTCTCTTCTTTGCATTCTGGACGTAGCTCTGCGACATGCCGATCTTTTTAGCCAAATCACGGCTTGAGACGTTGGGATTTGCTTTAATCATCCGCTCCGTCTTTTTGTTCTCCGGTCCCAGCTTTCTTCCAGCTCCTTTGCCGTGGTCCAACGTCAACCGCTCCGCTTCAACACTCTGGAGACGGTTGAATGGTGCATGTTCAACATTTTTCCCAACTGCCGGTGCGACAGGTCAGGAAATTCCAGGTGTTTGGAAAGAATTTGTTCTCTCAACTCGCGTTGGTTCACCTCCATTTTCGTTGAATCGAAAAACACGACTTCGAGTTTGACAGCATGTACACAATACACATCAATGAGAAAGTGTGCAAAATTTGGTTGACTTTTACCCAATGGTAAAAAAGTTATGCCCTGTTGAATGTGTCGCAATAATTTCGTGTTCGCCCTTTATGTTCACGTTTTAGTATGAACCAAAATGTATGCACACATTTTGAGACTCTGTTTTTGGGCTTGGTTTTCCAAACTACTCCAGTAGACATGTTTTAAAAAGTTATTCAAACATGAATAATACACATTTTAGCGTGAACACGATGTACTACTGCCTTTATGAACTTTATTTCATGGCTTCAAGAAAGAGTTTCGTACGGATGTACTGAAAATCGAAATGCATCGTCTACTGATGATTTGTAGACAACTAAAAAAATCCTCACGTCTGATCAAAATGTTTAAGCACTTTATTTTTCATATGCACAATCACATTTATTAAAAGTATATTTCACCATGGTTCAATGTGTTCTACACGTTGATCTGAAGTGTTTGAAACTTTGATAGGTTCATAATCTTTCTCTATCAATTTGCATGCATTGCATATCCCTAATAAACAAATACCACAAACGAACTGTATCCCGGATGGGTAAACTATCCCATAAATGGTTTGGATTGAACCCCGAACACGTCGTTAAGCTCTGTTTCATGGTTATTTTTATTAGCGATTTAATCACACTACTGTTCAAAACAGATGGAAGCGATGTGAATTGCTCGTTCTGCAAGGTAAACATCGAAAACATGAGTTGTGACTTCATCCTTATCAACCAGCCTCATATATGAGAACAACCGTAGCCCAGTGAGATCGAACGAAGACCACGGCAGCAGCACATTCCAAATAGTCCAGGATCAATTCCCAGATCAGACCCATTAAAAATCGCATCTGTACGGACTGCCCTTTGGCAACTTTGTTTATATATTTATCGATTCAATGTTAGAGTCGGTAAAGTGGAAGTCGATACAAAAAGTACAAAATTTGAACTATGATGTGCAAAAGCTATCGATATCACCATGTGAGGCACGTAGACTCCAAGTGTGTCACAATTCGAACCAATAGTGTTGAGGCATGGTTCACAGCATGAAATGGATATGTTTCACAATAAGTGCTCAATTAAGTGTGACTCATATAATCATGACGTTTGGATTTTTTTTCTATCGAACCATCAACTCATGGACCAACGGCTTTACTTCCCTTCCAAAGGAAAGAAAAGCGTGATAAGAGATTTAATGCCCCAGAAAATTTCGGCGGCGCCGACTGGGATTGAACCCAGGCCCTTCGGGGTGAGAGGCAATCACGCTTACCACTACACCACCGGCACCGCTCAAATTAACGCACTTGATTGAATTGTGCATTAACTATTGACTTAGTAAAAAAAAAAAATGCCTTCAGATGAATTGTTCACATATGCATGGCCCACAAATCTACAATTTTAAAAAAATATCATGGCCTACTTTTATAAAAGATTAAAAACATAACTTTTTCCCATAAAGAGATAGAAAGATACTTGCTTGCGCAAAGTTGTAAAACAACTAAAAATATGATTTATTTTTTTAAGATGCAAAATATCTATGTCTAATAGTTTTAAAGACATGGACCGTTTTCTTTGATAACCCCTGTACTAAATTAAGGTTTTATTTTTTTTTTCCTTGATTTGTTTTTCGTCTATCTTGTTTTGCGTGCTGAGCACCAATGCTACCGACGCCAGGAAGGCAGCTCCCCACACCTGAACCCTACCTATCGACCCATCAACTCATGAACCGGGACCAACGGCTTTACTTCCCTCCGAAGGAAGGCGTGATCAGAGATGTTATGCCTCAGAACATCCCGGCGGTGCCGTCTGGGATTGAACCCAGGCCTGCTGGGGTGAGAGGTTATCACGCTTACCACTACACCACCGGCGTCACTAGGTTTTAATTATTGGCTTTTAAAAAATATTTTTTCCCAATAAACTAATAGCTAAGATAATAATGTTCTAGATAAATGTAAACAATGTGATAACTGCCTGGTTTTGCTCAATACAGTGTGTGGCTATGTACATTTCTTGCAAAGTTATAGTACTTTTTAACTTTATTTTTCAGTATTTTGACTGCATATAGGAGAGAAGGTGGCGAACCGGGGCACAATATCAACAACTCCTTTTAAAGTTTAGACTTTGTGCTACAAAGTAGTAAAGGTTTGGTTAGCGCCAATTCATAATTGAGTGAATAGGGTCACGTTGATTGGTTGCGTGCTTTGCCATTTTCTATACAACATTACGTGTTGAAATGTTGGGATTTCGGGTGAAATTACCCTTCATCTTTCCCTCCATTTCCTACATGCTGCTTCCGGGTTCCTTTCTGATCCGTGCTTGTGATCCAATGTCAACCGGACCGTGAACCTGTTTATAACTCTTTTTTTTTTTTGTTTATTAATTTATTTGATAAGGCTCAAACGAATTAACTATACAGAACCGAGGATTCTGTCCATTGCAGCAATGGACACAAAACGTGGTCCGCACTCACACACTCATCACGAAACGGTTGCTTTCCACAGTCGACGACGCATCGACCGAAAGAACTGCTGATGAAGAACAATGAGGAGGACCACACAATGCACAGTGGTCCATAATGCAGATTTAGATGGAATGATATATTTTGAGCCTGAAATTGAAACTTTAGACTAAAAGTCTCTTCAACAAAGTTGTTCCTTATAGTTAGGTCCTCATTTTTATGACAATGAATTCTAGGGTAGTTCTAATTATCATTAAAATCAAAAAAATAACTTTTTTGTTTGAATAAATTAAGGTATACATTTTTGGGCAAAGTTATAACTGAGCTTATTTCAAGCAAATTTGTATAAAAAACTTTTTTGTATCTCTTAAATTGACCGATTTAGAGCTATTTTTTTCGAATTGAGTTAGGGTATCCCTAAAAAAAAAACAATTGTTTTGCTCTAGTTTTCTTATTTCAAATTTCTCAGCAAAGGATCTTTAGAAGGCGCAAATTTTCGTTGCACAAAGCTTGTCAATATCTTTCGCCGATCAAGAGTTACTGATGTTTTCCTACTTAAAATATTCCCTTTTCAAATATTAATATATCTAGTTGGGGCAACAAACAAAAAGTTTTTCTATGGCATTTAAAAGAGCGTATGTTATTCTCAATAATGTGAGAAAAATTAGAGGTATGTTATTTTTAAAACTCGTATAAAATTA